ACATTTGGGCGGCATTATGCAAATATTTCCACATAGTGAGGTAGATATGTGGGGGCGTGTTAGAACGAGCCGTTTTAGGGGGACGTGGCAGAGTCTTAACTTTGATAAAGAATATCTCTTTGGTTTTGAGACTTTAGTCTTTGCAACTTCAGGGATCTTATCTATGCACAATCAGCTTGTAACACTCCAAAGAGAAAGGAAAACTTGAAATCGCATCATATGACTCCTTTAAATAAAGATATTTTATGCACACTAGTTCAGTTACACTACACTTAAACGGTAACTTTTACCCTAATTCTTAACAGTTGGACAAAAAAAGTGTCTTTAAAAACTATTGGAACACATTGCCTTTACCTATACAACAAATCTGATTTAACAAATTGAACATAAAATGAAAATATATATTAATGTTTAATTCCTTAAAACATTGGCAAGTAGAAAAAAAACACTGCCTTAAAATAATTCTCTTCTTTCAAGTTCTCACCTGTATAGATTCTGGAAAGGTCGAGCAACTGTCCTCCACTCTCTCTCTGTCAGTGACAGACCAGTTAAAGTTAAGAACATAGCTGTAATGAATTAAAGTAGCCTACTAAAATATGATAAAGTATGATGAGATGTCATAAATATTCGGCGCAAAACAACTTTGCTTTATTGGGAAAGGATAATTCTACTCCGGACGCGAGTGGCGCAACGCAACAAAAGAACCCAATAATCAGTTATGCTGTCCATATTTACATTTACTCATTTAGCAGAGGCTTTTATCCAAAGCGACTTACAAGTAGGAGAGCATGTAACACACACTGGATCCAGCGCGAGGTCATATGCCTCAACGAGTTATTTTGTCACATCACTCGTATCCGGTGTAGATGCCCCGTTAGATCAATTCATAACGTAGCAATTCGATAGCGTGATTTGTGTCATCGTGACATAACACATACTTACAGTGTTTGAAAAAGATTTTTTTTTTTTTCTGGGGTGCATTTTACCCCCAAACCGCCCAAAGAGCAAAGTAAAATCGCAAGAGCAACAGGAGATTTAAGCTCATGACAGACGCTCCCAAGAGATGATTCGCCTTGTGATTGGCTGAATGTTAGTTCGAAGTCTGGTTTCGCGCTGTGTCACGCTAACCACTGCACCACACACTCTGCTCCGGTCCAGAGACACGATAGCACAGAGTCGGCGGAGACCACAAAATGTATCGGAGCTATTTGAATTCTACACAGAATGTTATATTTTGCAGCAATATGGATGAGATTGTGTCTGGCATACCCTGTCAAATGCGGCTTTACGCAGCTCAACGGCTCTGAACGGCTCTAGCACAGTTGGGGAAAGTTACTTTTAAAAGTAATGCAGTAATGCATTACAATATTGCGTTACTGCCTAAAAAAGTAACTAATTATGTTACTTAGTTACTTTTTATGGAAAGTAATGCGTTACGTTACTTTTGCGTTACTTTCGCATTACTTTTTAAATATGAGCAGGGTTTGATTGTTTTTAATATAAGAAGTTCTATTTATAGCAAATGTAAAAGCCCTTTCACACCAAAAAGTGTAATGAATAAACCTCAGGCTGAAGGAAAAGTAAATGAATGTCTGTACAGTAGAACGCAGAGAAGAAACACTCTTCAGCAATAAAAAAACAATGAAGCACAATTGTTAGTTTATCTAAAGTCATTTTTGCTTATTAGTATGGTTGAATTGGATCACCAAAGGTCAGCGGCAAAGACATTGTTTAATAAAAGGGGATTAGATACATTTGTGTTATTTAACATATTTAATTATTGCAGGTTTGCATCATATTCTGAGTTTGCATTTGCACTTTTTAAATCATTTTGATGAATACTAA